CTGAGCGAAAGAAAGAGGTGAAAGCAATTGTTTTAGCTCGCAGAAGGCGCCGACAAGGCGAAAAAATTCTTTCTTTAAGTCGCATCTAATTAGCGGCAGGCTGTTTTGACAAAGGCCAAATGTGAAGGAAACCGAAATCGTCATTTTCGTGCGAAAAGGCCAATTTGGATTTTGTTTTTTTTAAACAAGGTGTTTCTTCCCCAGAACAAAGCCCCGGATTGACCACGCCTGATTGGAGACGTCACGAAGGAAGGAGGGAAGATACCGACCAGAGTCTTATTAGCCGAGGGCAGTCACATGATACATGAGGGAGGAGGAGAGACGCCCGACCAGGGTCTCATTGGCCGAGAGCGGTCACGTGATGTGCGAGGGAGGAGGAAAGACGCTCGACCAGGACCCCATTGGTCGAGAGCGGTCACCTGACATACGAGAGACCAGGGGAAGCGGGTATGCGCCTCCCCCCCAGAGGCACTGTAAGGAAGTAGGAGTGAAAGTAGGAGCAATAATGGGAAATCAGAAATAATGCGACTTTTGAAATTATCAAGAAAACCCTGGCGCCGACAGACCCACCCCAGTTTGTTAAGGCGTCAATAAAAGCAGGACCCCAATCGTCAGAAATCAGTTGCAGCTGGACCGCGGGCAGCGAGGGAGCTTGAACGCGGGCGTCGGGCCCGGTTCATTCGACCCTTTGCGGGCAAGAGAATCCGGAGTGAAGAAATTCGTCCAGCCCAAGCCGAAGTGAAGAAGATTGCCCGAAAGCCTAAGAAGAGTTGGAGCTGCAGCCCGAAAGTCGATGAGAAGTTAAGTTGGAGATGCAGTTGCAGACCGGACAGGCAGAAGAGTTCAGCCCCGGACGCCAGAGAGAAGAGTTCGGACCTTGGCGAGAAGAGTCGCAGGGCGGACGAAGAAGAAGTTACTTGCAGTTGCGCCTAGAAGAAGTTGAAATCAAACCAAGCCTAAGAATAGAAATTCGTCCAACCCAAATCGAAGTGAAGAAATTCGTCCAACTCAAGCCGAAGTGAATAAGCTCGTCCAACTCAAGCCGAAGAGAAGAAGTCGATTCGCGCACTGACGGCGAGAAGAATCAGCCGTGAACGACTGGTAGAGATCAGCGCCCAGTGTCGAAACCAAACCACACCCCCGACATGCAAATTTCTAGAGAGTAGGCAACTCGAAGTCTTTAAGTTGTATGGTAGAAGCTTGGTGCCACAGTCCACAAAACGGGTCGGGAAGTAGGAATAATTTTTATGTAACGAACATTTAGATATAAAAGGTTATTACCCTTTTTTTTTTCAGTAATTTTTGGCCTCGTGAGTTTTTCTTTTTCTTGTGTGTTATCACCCCGTCGAACTCAGCTTGCATACGGCCCCAATCCCTGTTTGATCCCGTCTGTCTAAGATCTAATCACAACGTGGGTAGGCAGACCGGAGATCAGTGCAGTTACCCTAGTAACCAGGCGTTGGAAGCGAGTTGGGAACGGCGAAGCTGGTAATCATCTAACCAAAGGGTTAGAACGTCACACTTGGAGCCGCGAACGAGATCGAACGACAGAGTTGACGCTGCGAACAGGGGGGGCGACGTCACAATAAAGATACAGAACAGTTGTTTCAAGATCAGGGCAATATGGCGTATGGGGTAAAGCTGACCGACTGAGTTGTAAAATTATTTGTGTTATTGCTGTAAGCAGCCTGGCGTTCTTATAATGTAGAACATTTTCTCCTTTTATCCATTCAGTACGCGACCACTGCCGTATATATATATATATATATATATATATATATATATATATATATAAGAAGTATGTTAATGTAGTCTAAAATTATTAACTGCCACGTATGATCATTAGTTATGACAATGCATTCGTCATTACAATGGGTTCGCGAAAACGGAAATTAATTATGACTCAATAAGTAATTTTTGTCAAAATGACAAAACTGTTGGAGACAGAAAGAATAACGAAACAAATGTTTCACACTTTTCTTTCAATTTTAAATTAAATTTGTGCCTTATTCCTTTTTATACTAAAGTTCACTCAGTAATAGTTTCGAGAGTCACTCAAGGTAGAGGCTTATCCAATGAGGTGGTCGTATATGAAGAGTATGATGATATAATATAAAATATTATACAAGATAAAACCCTCTACGGAAACACGCACGCATACACACACGTACATACACACACACATACACACACACATGTTTCGTCATTTGAGGGACATTTTTTATTCATTTTGTTCCTTTACAGATTCATCCTGTCTGAAAATAATTTACGCGCACACACACACACACACACACACACACACACATATATATATATATATATATATGTGTGTGTGTGAAAGGTTGAGACGGATTATATATGAGCGTGTTTCATTAAGACGGATGAAAGTCAGTAGTAAATAAGTCAGTGATAATGGTGAAAATTTATCTATTTGTCTATTGGATCATATTATTTAAGTCATACCAATTACGTGTTAAATATCACCCAAATTTCCGACAAATCTGAAAGAAAAAGGCAAAAAAAACTTAATTTACATTTAAAATCGCTTCAAGTTATTGGGGCGCCCTATATATATATATATATATATATATATATATATATATATATATATATATATTAGAAGGATTATAGCCAGTCACTGTGATAGGAATCGTTACTCATGAATATATGGATTTGGGTGATTTCCATGGTAACCAAATGCAATAAAATTCAATCATCTATTCATGAAAATTTGGAGTCCTTTGACGTGGTATAATGAGAAGCAGGCTTGACTCGCCTTATCAATGAGTAGTGAGTTCGATCCTTAGCTGCTACTTTCGTCCTTGTGCCACATCTAAGCTTCGTTTAGTAAAACATAAACATTTTAATCTGAATTTCTGGGATTATCATTATTTACGTTCAGATCAATTTCCTCATCTATGTTTTGTTATTATTACATGTCATTATTTAAAAACCGGCACAAATAAATAACGAGTTTGCACTGACAGGCCTTGAGTCTTTTAATGTCCTTTATTTATTTATTTATTAATCAAATTGGGCTTTCACTGAAACAATGAAATAAATCTTCTAAATTCCTGTTGAGGTTTTGGGAAAGCATCAACATTGGTAGAATTATTGCTTCCTGTTGGATCATTAATCTCTTCAGTCAATTCAAATGCAGGGACAGTTATTTAGTTTTGGCCACTTCTTTTTTCTCTTTTTTGAGTGTTTAGCCTAACTTATTACATTAAATGTCCCTGGCTTCCTCTTTGCAAGTCACTCTTAGGGGAGGTATTGTATCTATCAATTCCCTTTATTCATACCAATTCAGACGATATTCTTAATTTGCTTATTTGTTTTACGCAAGAGTAATTGCAATTAAAGCATTAACATCAGCAACAAAAAACTCTTAATTTCAGTTCACCCTCTTTTATTTGTGTCCTTTTTCAATGGCTGAAACTTTGCCCAGACATTTATTGCAGCGGAAAGTGAATTATCTTCTGCCTTATTGATTCCTGTTCTTTTATTTTCTCTCTACTTAATTTTTTTTCTCATATTCTTTCACACTCAATAACTCCCTTGCATTTTAGTGACTTTATCGCCTTGCTTGGCGTAAAATAATTACACACACACACACACACACACACACATATATATATATATATATATATATATATATATAATTATTTTAAAAAAATATGTTTATTTCGTGACACAGAAGTTACTACGTTTTGAAACTGGTCAGCAGTATTCAAGTTTAATTTCAATATTAAACCTTAAACTACTGGGTTAATAATTTCAGTATTAAACCTTAACTACTGGGTTTAATAATTTCTGTGTCGCGATGGAATCATATTTAAAAAAAAAATAATTATAATCTAGGCTCAATTTCAGTATGTTAAATAAAAACAAAAGTACTAAAGTACTTCGGATCATCAGTCTAAGAGTTCTTTCCTATTATATCAACACGCACACACACATATATACATATATATATATATATATATATATATATATATATATATATATATATATATATATATATATATATATATATATATATATATGAATATGAAAAAAGACAAAAGGAAAACTTAAACATTTGCCTTGATAAAGTCCTCAGAGGACAAACCCGTCGGATAAGATTAGATTAGTTTGTGCTTTTGCATATTGTTCTTTTCAAATATATTCTATCTGAATACATATATATATATATATATATATATATATATATATATATATATATATATATATATATATATATATACCTAAAGTTTTAGTTTTTATTCTAGTTTATTCCGCAATAAGGTGCAGAAGATTTTGCACATGTTAAAAAAAGTCTCAGCACCCCTCCCTGGCATCATAATGCAAACCTCTGTATTTATTTACATCAGTCCTTAAAGAACTACTTGTCTGCCTTTAACACTTACACTAAGCAATAATTAAAAAAAACAAGGTTCTTGGTTGAGTTATATATCACCCAAAGTTTCAAGTATTTAAAAATGGATAGGAAGTTGAACTGGCAGGCTTTGAGTCTCATAATGTTCTTTATTAATTTACCAAATTGTGCTTTCACTGAAACAATGAAATACATATTCTAAATTCCTTTTTGTGCAAGAGTAATTGCGATAATAACCTTAACTTTAGCAACAAAAGTTCTTATTAATTTCAACAATTATTCCTAATTTTAACGAGTTTTAGATGAATTCAAATTTAATTTCAATTTGTGAGCTATCTACATTAGTTAATCTCTCCATACTATACAAATTATAGTATTTTCCTTGTTAACAAAACGCTGATTACATATGCATTTTGAATTTACATTCGCAAGTAAATATATTGTCATTTGCATTTGGGTGTTCTGGTTGCCTCTCTTAGCAAAAACACACGACAACACCGACAACGTGATTTCGCGCATTTATCAGATCGAAGGACACGAGATCTTCCAGGTTTATCTGAAGTTTCTTCTTTTAAAATCATGTTTTCATCATTGTTGAACAGATCTTTCGATTCTAATTCTAATGAGACTTATCATTCAGCCTTCTGCGCCACACTATCTGTCGTTTCTATTTCATCTTAACATTGTCAACCGAACACAAAACATTACTCTTACCTGTCTCGTATTTGTCTCCTTTTCTCAAGACTTTTCCCGCCTCCAGGCGGTCTTTATCTGCAAAATATCACACGAATGATCTTCATTGAATAATTTTATATAGTATTTCTTTTATCACTTCTTGTCGAAATCCGTTAAAAATCTGTATCTCGCTTATTTTATTTTCTTTACTCTTTTAACTTCTTTCTTTCTTTCTTTCTTTCTTTCTTTCTTTCTTTCTTTCTTTCTTTCTTTTCTTTTTTTGCTTCCTTTCTTTCTTTCTTTCTTTCTTTCCATGCTTACATCGTTCTTTCTTTCTTTCTTTCTTTTTTCTTTCTTTCTTTCTTTCTTTCTTTCTTTCCATGCTCCATACATCGTCATCTTTCTTTTCTTTCTTTCTTTCTTTCTTTCTTTCTTTCTTTCTTTCTTTCTTTCTTTCTTTCCATGCTCCATACATCGTCATCTTTCTTTCTTTCTTTCTTTCTTTCTTTCTTTCTTTCTTTCTTTCTTTCTTTCTTTCTTTCTACGCCCGTCCATCGCCATCTTTCGCTCTTTTTTCCACACTCTATCGTCATTAATCTTTTTTCCTTTCTTTTTTCTTTCTTTTTTGTTCCATGCATTGTCAATTTCTTTGTTCGTTTTTCTTTCTTACTTTCTTTCTTTCTCTACTACATCCGTCGCCATCTTTCTTTCTTTTTTCCCATGCTCTATACATCTTCATCTTTCGTTCTTTCTTTCCATGCTCCGGCTATCGTCATTTTCACTCACTCACTCTTTCTTTCTTTCTTTCTTTCTTTCTTTCTTTCTTTCTTTCTAACTTACTTCTCTTTCTTTGTTCAATCCTTCGTCATCTTTGTTTCTTTCCCCGCTCCGTCAATCATCATAAACCTTCTTTGCTCTTTTAACTTACTTTCCTTCTTTTGTTTGCAATGTTTCGCAAAAATCTTCATATTTCTTTCTTTCTTTCTTTCTTTCTTTCTTTCTTTCTTTCTTTCTTTCTTTCTTTCTTTCTTTCTTTCTACCATCCTCATCTTTCTTGAATATTTTGATTCTCTTGTTGATTGATTTTTTTCGGTTTTTTTCTCTGCATTTCCATTTTTTGTTTGTCTCGTCTACTTTCTCTTTTTTTATTTTAATCCCTTTTTTCTCATTCTTTGATAAATTTCGTATTTTTTGTTTGTTTTTCCACCTTTCTTCTCACCTTGTTAATTTTCTCCTTAACTTTCTTTCTCTTACCCCCCCCCCTTTGTTGTCTGATCATTTTCCTTCTGGATAGATTTCTTAAGCGTCATTTAAACGACATCTAAATAAATCACCACCTTATTGAAGTCGAACACATATTTCCGCCTAAAATTGGAATTTCATTATGCCAAGAAGGCAACGAATTCCTCTTCCGTATTCTGTCATGTCTTGATGATGAACGATGATGATAAAGAAGGACTTTTGAATTGAAAAAAAGAAAAAAAAAAGAAAAGATGGTATCAGAGAAAAGACAACTTACCCGTTCCAAGGCATAAAGACAAACACAAATGTGAAGAAATGGTTCTCGAACATTGAAACATACCTGATCAAAACCCATACGAATCCGCTAATAGAAAACAGCGTCCCAGTTTTCCCACTAGTAGTCAGTGACTGACCATGCAGAGGCATATATGCTGATGACATAGGTATACATAGTTACTATAAGAATAATTTAAAAAAAAATCATTTTGTATAAAGTATTCCAGAATAGAAACTACGATCTGGAATTTATATGAGAGTAGTGATCCCAGAAGCGATCATAGAAAATCAAAACCTCGAATTAATAAGTTCTAAACACTTCAAATACGTCTGTACACACATCAATGGAACACTTTGCACAAGGAATACTTTTGTCCAACACCGTAAGACGCTCCAAAACGAAGATATTAACCTGGAAACTCGGGGCATGTTCTAAACCAGTTTCGTCGAATTGAGACTCTAATTTGGATGTCATGAATGGCCTTCATCTTGTTCGGAAATGTCTAAACTATCATCTACATGAAAACGTTTTCTCAGATCAGCGACTAAAGATGCCTTCGATCGAATTAATTCTTTTAGACAATCTTTCATTAGACCCTACAGGCTAGTGAAAGAAAATTGCAAACGCATGCTAATGGTAACAGTAATTGTGAGATTAAGCATTTCCATACAGACAGCATTCAACCCTCGTTGTGATGACACATTGTTCATAGCAGACACAGAAAGGAAACTACAAGAACTCCCACAGAAGACAATGAAGGAAAGCAAGAAGAAAGGACTAAACTTCAATTGCAAGAAGATAGAATGCATGATAATTAGCAAAAGGAGCAGCCCAACCTGCAAATTACAAATTGGAGATACCGAAATCAAACAAGTACAACAGGTTTAGATATGTGGGAAGCGAAAGACGCCTTCTAAAGGTTGGGCAAAGTACTGAGTATAGTAAAATAAATATAGTTAGAAACAAAGAGTACTGAACTGTTATGCGGTATCTGTCCTAGTATATGACAATGAACGCTGGACAATCTCCTCATAGACAAAGAGAAGACTCGAAGCAGCAGAAAATGTGATTCTACAGAAGGGTGCTGCAAATGACATGGACCGAACATGTGAAGAACTACGACGTTCTAGATACAATGGCAACAAAAAGGGAACTTAGTCTTAGCATCAGGAAGAGACAGTTGAAATTTCTAGGGAAAATATTGAGGAAAGAGGCCTTGGCAAATTTGATACCCACAGGACATTGAAAATAAAAGAACCAGAGAAGGCAACACACCACTTAGCTGATGAGCTTGATCGAATGGATGACTGAGTTGAGTTTGGGCGAAATGGCAAAAAAGCAAAAGTTATTAGGAGTTACAAATAACAGGAAAATTGTGGAGAGCCATAATCACCAACGTCCTGAAGGAACATGGCATATTGAAGAAATCCGAACGATTAGGGTTACTGTTAGTTGAAATGTTAAAATATTTCCCTTAAAACAAAGTTTCACGATAATAGGTTCTTTAATCCATTATCTTTTATCACTATTTCTAGTAATGACTGGAATCTCCTTCCTAGCCTTTTGCTTAAGGTGGTGTGGAATGTCAACGTCTTGATTATACTATTATTTTTTCTTCTAGTTACATGTACTATACATTTTCATTGTTGCTGCTATTGGAAGTCTTCAAGTGATGTGATTTCTGTTATTCGGTTTGGTACTTTGTTGATGAATATGTAGAGTCAGTCGATAAGATCTGATAAAATGTTGCCCTTCCTTAAGACTTACGACAGACATTGGCAACCTATTCCAATTTGTGGGCTGCATCAGATATGGTTCATCATGAGGCGGGTCGCACTAATAAAAAATTCAAAGTAATTTTTCAGTGAAAGTAAAGTGAACATTTTTCCTACAGAAGATCATACGCGTAAGCATCTGTCTTAGAAATGCGGGAAAATGTTGATATTTGTTTATTTGAGGTAAAGATTTTCTCCAATAATTAACAAATTGAAAATTTCGTATAATAGTATCACTGATGCTACTGTGATTAACACATACTGCTCCGTGTGATTTGTTTTTAATTTATTCATTTTAAAATGCCAAAAAATTCTTTTTAAGAAAAGAAATTTCTTCTGCAGAAAAAAATGAATATGAACGTTTCTCATTTCTAAAGAAACTATTTTTACACGTATGATCTCCCTTAATGAAAATCACCAATGGTTTAAAATGCTGAGAACGTTACCTTTAACAAAAGGTTACAAATTCAAGAAATCTTATTTAATCATAGTTACGCATGTGGTTTAATCGAACTGTTCTCACAAAACAACAGACATTAATAAGTAAGGAAGGTTGCTCAGGCATTTAATAGTTATCTCCCTTTGACTCAACTTCTTGGCGTGACAGAGAATGCGTGTGAACAAGCGAGAATGAAACAAAACGCAAACTATCAATAAACGTTATTTCCCTCATTAAATTAGGCGCGCCATTCAGAACGCCACAACGGGCGCATGTGACTCGCGGGCTGCAGTTTTGTCCGTGACTGAACTACAGGATTCGTTCGCTTGTGCCCCTTTTTAATTATAGATCTGAGGAAACGGTTGTCTATGACAGTTAATTTCAGTCATTCCTGAACGATTTCAACGCCATCGACATGAGAGTCCAAAAGCGTATCCGCGTGCTAGTGATTGCTAAATTATTTTCCACCCTACAACCCCTTTTCCAACAGACGAAAAGTTTTAAGCCTCTCGCTACACTAACGCTATTTCTATGGAAAACTCCCAGACGAACTGCAATCCTTTGTTCCACCAATTCTAACCTTCACAGTTAAGACCGTCCATGCCACGCTCATTGTCGTGAGCCATTTTCATTCCTTTCGTATTCCATTAGTGAGATGTCCGTTCCATTCGAGGAATCGCTACTATATTGAACCGACTCCCAAGAGGATGTTTACAATCTTAACCTGCTCAACTCTAGGATTAACCATTATTTTTCTAATAAACTGGTTCTTACCTCTTACTTTTTGACTCATTACCTCGAGTGGCTCTTGGTTCTTGTACAGAGGAAACATTATTGTAAAAAAAAAAAAAATGACCTCCTCGTATTGTTTAACGACATATATGCCATAATTGCATCCCATATCAAAAGTAAAGAATTGGGTTGTTAGAAATTGACTTTCACATTTGACATTTTTCACGGATCAAATTGTTCCAGCTCCATTGTTGGAACACAGGAAGAGAACAGGGTTAAATATCCTTAGACATTGATTCCTGTAAGGAATGTAGCCAACGCTGTAGATTAAATAAAGTTAGTTGGAAAGTTTGAATTTTACCCAGATCGACAGATACCTGATGAAGACGAGAGAGGACACAATAGCTGAAACCTTTGGGATGATGATGGCAAAAAAGATGAGGAAGTGCTTACGGCCACATCATGTTGAAACACCGGTTCCCATACGATTAGCAAAGTTAAGCAACATCGCTCCTGGTTAGTACCTATATGGGTGGCTGTCTGGGAATACAAGTTACTGTAAGCTTGTATATGCGGGTGGTGTAATGGATAATGATTTGAAATTGTGAATCAGAGAACAGAGTTTCAATTCCCGTTGGTTCCATTATATTCACTTACACGCAATTTTCCTTGAGAAAAAGTATGAATCCACCTTTTCTTCCCTCCATCTATGGGTTAATTAGTAGGAGTTGTATCACTAAACCATTATTATCTAAAAAAAATCTTGTAATCTAAATATATTTTCTGGCTTTAAATAAAAGGGTTGATAAGCCGTAGAAAATGAATCAATCAAATCAAAGGTGACGACTTTTCGTCCGATTTTAAATTTTGTAAATAATGGTGATACATATCTGGAGATGGAATAATCGATAAAGGCTCGGATTGAGGAATTGGGGAGGCGAGCTCGAATTCCAGTCGAATCCATTACATTCACTTACGTGCTAATACCATTGGGAAATGTATGAATACTCTTCTTCTCACCCCCCCAGCTATAGGTAAATATCAGGACAGACCGGTTTCTAGAGTCTTGGATGGCAACTGGTCTACCGCAGAAAAAAAAGCAACTTACTGCGGGAAAAAAATCTGCCTGGTCAGTCATGTATCGAAAGATACATGATCGCCCTAAGCGTGTATCGCACATAACTGACTGACTGATATCTGGAAAAATGTATCCTATTATCCTTTATGGGTGAAGAATCGTTGGAGTGTAGAAAAATGAAAATAGCTGCGTACACTTGTCTTGCAGATAAATGCATAATTCCGGACACTGAGGAGTTTGTTATTAATGAAAGTATTGGAAATCGAGTTCGCTTATAAAATGTGGAAACTTCTGTGTTACACGTGTTGTTCTGAATTTTGGAATAAGGGTTTGGTTCGATTTGCATATTGGGTTGATATTTTCTTCTTTTGACAACCACTTTATGGTTTTTCTCGATCCGCAGAATGTGAAACCCCTTTCAATACGCCCGAGAAGCGATGTAGAAAGCAATAAAGAAATGAAATCAATATTCGATCTCTAGGGAAATGACGAATGAGTTTTGAAATAAGAATTCGTATCAATGCTCGCACCATTCTGAACTCTTGTAGATGTCCCCGAGCTTAAGTTAAACAGAGCCAACGAACAAATTCGTTGATCAAAATAAATTGCATTTGCAAAAGAAATCCGTTTCCCCATCGTTGCATTTAGAGCAAGAACTCTGCAGATCCCTTGTCAACATTTATTAAGATTAGCTTCTCCATGACAGTACATCGTCCATGGCAGTACATCGACGCGACGATGACCTGAGGCTTCTCTTGTACGCTTGTGGATTTCTGTTGTTACTGCTGTTGTTGTTGTTGTTGTTATTGTAGTAGCGCTTGTTACTTTACGAACTTCAGAATTGAAAGTCTGAAACGTCACTCCCCCTCCCCAAGGATGTGAGGTATAGTATTACATTACAGTGAATTTATGTGATCACGTTGTTTGCGATTGTGATATACACGGCCGCGGTTACGTTTAGCTTCAACAGTTGGAACACCTTGCCTGAAAGTGTGGCGCCATTCTACAATGAACGCTGGCATTCAGCCAACTCTCCCTAAAATTCCCGTCTGTGAATGCAATGCAATGGGCAGCTGGATAAAGTAGCTGACTCAGCACCGTTACCCATAGACTATTATGGATTGAATACTGTTGTATCTGATTTGTTACAGGATCATGATATGAAGAATGTAGTTGTGTCAGGTATCCGTTGCAGACAGCTTAAATATAAATCTTAAATGTTTTATGCTTGCTCGGTTTAATTTATATTAATCTGATACAAGGCCAGAGAAATACAGCTCCCAGTATTAAATTCAATCTATTAGATAAATAATTCACTCATACATACTATCCATTTATAAAGATGAAGGAAAAATGGTTGGTTTCTTGTACCACTCCAGTAAGTACCTGACTCCTTGTCATCCTCTAGTTTTACATGAGTCAGATCAGGCCAAAAACAGAGTACTGTTGTAATATTTAGATAGGTGCTGCCCAGACCTCAGTCTCCAGCCATGATAGAGTTTAAAACTGTTTCCGAGTGACGTTCCATCATCACCGGTCAAACTGAATTTCTGCCTATCATGATGAACAGGTGCACCTTCAGGGAGGCCCAATAAACACCTATTGGGACTTAAGCTCAACCCAGACCTCAAGTGGAACTCATACATAAAATCTCTCAATAAATATACCAGAAAAATGATCAGTTCCCTGTACTACTCCAGTAAGTACCTAACTCCTGCTGGTATCCTCTACCTTTACAAGAGCCATATCAGGTCGAAAAAAGGAGTATTAATGGTATATATAGGCAGAAGCTGCACAGCCTTCACTTTCCAGTTTTGACAGAATTCAAAACCGTCTCCCCGTCCTTGTAGGTGATGAATTATTTTACACCCTTCTTTCCAACAGATGAAACATAGCAAGCCTCTTGCTACTCTATCACTATTTCATACCTTAGTTCCACCAGTTCTAACCTTCGCGGCTAAGACTTGCTATACCACGTCCATTGTAATGAAACAATCCCATTCTCTTCGTATTCCTTTGGTGTGATGTAAGTTCCACGTAAACGGCTTCTTCCCACAAACCGCGGCCTTGTAGAACCAGCTTCCAAGAGGTTACTTCCCCGATCTCTATAATCTTAACCTGTCCAAATCTAGGGTTAACCTTTATCTTCCACACATATCCGCATAACCAAACCTCTAATCTACAACCCTCTACCTCAAATGACTCTCAGGCCTTTTACAGGGTAGAAAAGCAAAAAACAAAAAAAAGTCACTTCAAGACAGTATGTAAAAGATCTGTAGCTACTTTTTCTATATTATCTGTGAATTGTCTTGGTTTCTTGGAAAATATAGTGAATGGATCCTCGGTTTTGAATTTACAGATAGTTCTCTGCTATAATCTGCGCCAGTTAAAGCAAGAGAATGCCGTCAGCCCTGATATTTAATCCCCATATTGGGATAGAGCGAGAAAAAATAGATTCAAGCCTTTCCCAAGGACATTAGTGCGAGAGTGAATGCAACAAACTAGAAAGCATTTCGACCTCGGCTTTCCCGAATCCCCTTTCCATGTCAATAACCGTGTCGCTATCCATACATATGTTGATATTTATTAACCTTATTATCAGCTGGCACAAGAGTACAATAAAAGAGCAAGACTAGTTTCTCTCCACGATAGGTGTACAAGATAGCTAATCAACTTAAAAGTGAACTTTAGCGGACTTAGAACCTACGACGCAACGGTGAGTACGTCATAAATAACTATTTGAACTGCCAGTTAAGCTTTTTTTTTATTTGGGAAGGAATATTCGAACAATCCAGAACTTATACTGGAAGCAAACTGCTTGCATCTTCTTTTTCTATGTATCGCGTTCACGGATATTCATAACTTCCTATCTTGTGTGGCTTTTTTACGCCATTTTCTAAGGCTATCGACTCCTCCTTGTTCCGCCATGCATTCAAAAACTTCGTCAGGTAAGTGGTGCATTGCCTTCCCGTAATTCAGTTGCCCTCAATATGAAAACTAAGTTTTTCAAGCCTTCCTTCCACATGTGTTCAAGGAACATCCATTGTTTTTCCTGATTTTAGATATAAGTGTTTTTTCTTATACTATTTTCTTTCACACTTCTTTGTTGCTAACTCGCTCCGTACATAGAATTCTAAGTATCTAAGAACCACATTTCTGCTGATTCTAGTTCTTTTTTCATATTCGTGGAAAGATTGTTCAACTTTCACGGCCATATAAGAAGATGAAAGCCACACAGCAATTCAGCACTCGTTTCTTTGTCCCTAACGATTTTTTCTGTTTCTCAGTACCTTGCTTAGCTTTTGGAATGCTTCTTTTGTTATTCCAATGCGTGTTCGGGTCCTAGTGTTGCATTTTCTATCCTCTGTTACAAAACTCTTCACAAATGTTTAAACTTGTACACCTGTTTGATATTTATATCGTAATTCGCATCTTCGGCATTTTCTCTTGCTGATAACCATATTGTTGAAGTTGATGGTAAACCCTTTTTTTTCTCACCTCATTCAACCATTCTCTCTAAGAGGTCCTGTAGTTTTCCTTTAGAGTTGACTATCTTATATTGTTAAGATTATTCCCACCGATAATTAATTCTGGTAGGGTCCCCAATTCTCTTAGGATAGCGTCGATGTAGAGTTTGACTATATCTGGGGAGATGACACATCCTTGTCTCACGCACCTTTCTATTTTCATGTAGCTACTCAGTTCATTTCTATGAAGGCGGTGCGTTCACAGTAAAACCATATCAATTAAGCAATTCGGCATTCAGTCTCATCTTCATCCTCTCTCCTTATTCCCTTTCTCTTCTGTGGTGGCGGTGGCAGAGATGGCTGTGAAGGCCTAGTATACTCCTGAAGAGTCACGTGAAGGAGTCAAAAACGAAAGTATAGGTGGTTGTCGCAGCTGGGTGAGTCGGGCCCTCTTGACAGCACATTGCAGATCCTCTTCATGTTAATAGTTGAACTCAAAAGTCTTGATCCCCTCTCGGATAGTCCAATGCCAGGAAGGCCAATTTGAATTAATAGTTATCCAAGTATCAATGTTGATGTTGGCTTGTGTCAGGGATATCTTCAACTGATCCTTGAAGCATCATTTTGGGCTTCCGCTTTGCCTCTTGCAAGTTCTCCAAAAAGGGTAATATGTGGGAGTCCAATGGGACACATTCAGGGCACAAGACCTACCCAGAAAGGCAATGTTGTAAGATGGTAGCCTCAATGCTGGAGAGAGATGTTTGAGAGGACCTCACTGTTGGTGATGCGGTCCTCCCAACTGATGCGAAGGATTCTTCATTTTCTGGAACCGCTCCAGAGATTTGATGTTCCAAAGATACAAAGTCCAGTTCTTGCAAGTGTACAGGAGGGTGGGAAGAACAACAGCCCTGAAAACCATAATAAAAAATCTGGGAATATAAAAAAAAAGTCTCTGTCTCTAGTTGCATGGTGTTACATCAGGAAGGTCGATTTATAGGTATGGTTTCCCAGGTTTCAG